GCCCGTGCCCCTTTAAGGGGTCCGGGGCCGGGAGGGGGGCAGACGAGTTTCCCTGGTGTTGGCCAGAGTGGCCACCAGGGCAAGCTGGGGTGGGCTAGCCTCCCACTAGTTCTAATTAAGTGGCTACACAGCCCTTAATTCAAACTACTTAATTCGAACTAGGCGTTAGTCCTCGTGGAATGAGGTTTTCCTAGTTGGAATTAAGCGCTCCGCTAGTTCGAATTAAGTTCGAACTAGCAGTTTGCCTGTGTAGCACCTCTCAAAGTTCATTCGAACTAACATCTGTTAATTCGAATTAACTTTGTAGTGTAGACATACCCTTAGCTACTTAAAAACAAGTAGTCCTGTGGCACCTTAGAGACTAACATATATATAGATAGCCCAGGAAAGTTTGTGATTTTATATATAAAATAAATATATATACTTGTTTTTATAGTTACAGACTAACACGGCTACCCCTCTGAGACTGTTAACTACTTAATCAGAGTTTCACCCATCAGCGGAGTTGTAAACAAGAAATGTATAGTTCTCCTGAAATATGGATGGCAGCTCATGTGCACCATGGAATAGGCTGACCCAATGACCCAGTAATCACTTTTGCAGCACAAAGATGCTAAAAAGGGGATGATGCTTTTAGACACTTCTCTTTCCTCATTTATATTAATGGCAGCAAGACTGTTTGAAAGACAAATGATCATAATCGATCTGAGGGGGGGGTGGGAGGGTGTTAGTCCTAACTGCAAGGCTTTCCAGATAGCATGAACTGCTGAAAGTTTTGGGATGAGATGCACCTTTTTGCTTGTACATCTTTTTGAGGTTGGTAAAGCTTAGGAATTAGGATGCATTTTTTATCTTTAATTTGTTTGGTAACCAATTCTGACTTCTATGTATTTATCATTTCATAATAACTTAAAATCTATCTTTCTCTAGTTGTTAAACTTGTTTTATTGTTTTATCTAACCCATTGTGTTTTGGTTGACGTGCTTGGAGATCTTTACTCAGGTTAACAAAAGTTGATTTATGATAATTCTGTTTGGTTAAATGCCAGATTTTGAAGGAGCTTACACTATTCGCGTGGGTCCTGAGCAGTGTAAGACACATATTCCTGGGATGCACTCCCTTGCTAGGAGTGACTTTTTACATGTTAATGGCTATGCAAGAGATTTGGAGAGGCTGCTTGTCAGTGGCAAGTCAGTGTAAAAGTCACTCTGTGGTGGAGAGTTAAAGGGACACAGAAGTTCAACCATTCAGGGTGTGTCTAGACTACAGGATTTTTTGACAAAAGTGGACTTTTGTCAACAAAATTATACCCGCATCTACACTACTGCCGAGTTCTGTCGACAGTAAGTTGATAGCATGCGGCAGTTTTGTTGACGGCAGTAAATCTCATTTATGAGGAATAATGCCTTTTGTTGACAGAGTTCTGTCGACCAAAGGTGCTATTGCATCCACACTGTGCTTTTTCAAAAGA